AGGGGCTCATACAACTGTTATCCCAATCCATACACACATCAATTGTGTAAAGCGCATTTGTACATCGTTTCTCCAAACATTTTCTCTCCACTTAACCCCCCGATATTAGGTCCTCATTTTTCCCCTCCCTCCCCGCTCCCTCCTCCCTCATGAGCCCTTGATAGTTTATAAATGGGTATTTTGTCATATCTTGAATTTTCCCATTTGAAGCACAGAATTCAGTGGCTTTCCGTATATTCAGAGTTGTACAATTATAACTACAATCAAGCTTAGAATACGCTCATCAGCTCAAAAAGAAACCCTCTACATACCACCCTCCCCTGCCCTAAGCAAACACTAATCTATTTTCTGTTTCTGTGAATTTGCCTATTCTGAATATTTCGTATAAATTGAGTCATAGGTGTATGATCTATGATATTGTATCTTTTGTCTCTGGCTTCTTTCATTTGGCATAATGTTTTCAAGGTTCATCCACATTGTAGCTATATCACTACTCCAGTTTTCTTATGTCCAAATAATATCCCATTGTACAGGCGTACTTGAGCAACATTGTGTTTGCTCATTCAACAAGTGATAGTTATTTAGATTGTTTCTATTTTAGAAAAATTATACGTGGTAAAGTGTTTCTACTTTAGGGCTATTATAAGTCATACTGTTATGAACAGTTGGGTACAAGTCTTTGTGTGAATATGTGTTTTCAGTTTTCTTGGGTATATACCTAGGAGTGGAATTGCTGAGTCACATAGTGAGTCAGCCATTTATTATGTGACCATTTTAAATACTAAACGCCATTGGTGGACTCTGCTATGATTGATGATGAGAATAGCTTTCTTATACTTCCTCCCAACTGTTTTCTTCTATTCCTATCTTATTTTGCCTTTGTCAGGTATAGTATTTACATTGTGTTCTACAGCCATAAATCATTTGCTTGTTTTAGGTCTTAGTTTCATAGTTTAAGGGATTGTTTGCCTACAACCAAGCCTTGTGCCTCTGATCCTGAATTCTGAACTTTGATTTTATTTTGTGGTTGGGTGTCTGTATCTCATCATTGGGAAGTTCTTCCAAGAAGGGCTTCTGGGTGCTATATTTATTGGATTCTTTCATGTTAAGAACACTTGCTCTAGTTCCTTTGTATTTACTGATTTCTTAGCTAGATGTCATATTCTTTAGTTAATACTTTCTTTCTTTCAAAATGTTGTAGGTATTTCTCCATTGTCTTCTGCCACTGAATGTAACTCTGAAGAAATGAAAGGCTAGTTTGATTCTTGTTTTTCTCCTTTCCTCTGTGTCTCTGTGTCTCTGTCTCTGTCTCTCTCTCTCTCTCTCTCTCTCTCTCTCTCTCTCGTGTGTGTGTGTGTGTGTGTGTGTGTGTGAGAGAGAGAGAGAGAGAGAGAGAATCATTTATACACACAGGTATTAATTGGATAGTCTGGAAGTTTTCCTTCTTCTTTTCCTTGAAGTTTAGCAACTGAACAAGGATGGATCTCAATGGAAAAAGGGGGGGGGGGTTGCCATGGAGACCATTCTGAATCGTGTTGACCTCGTGTGTTTCTGAGGAGGACCACACGCCATAGAGTTTGGGGAAGTTAGATCTGTCTTCTGAGGCACCTTTGAGTGGGTTTGTACTGCCAACCTTTTGGTTAGTAGTTGAGTGTTTAACTGTTTGCACCATGTATGGACTCCTTTAGGGACATGAGAACCAAACCCACTGCCTCCTAGTCCCATCTGACTCATAGCGACCCTGTGGGCCAGAATAGAACTGTCCCTATGTCTTTCTGAGGCTATCGATCTTACAGGAGAAGAAATACTCAGCCTTGCTCCTGTCCTTTGCCTGTTGACTACAAACTACTGACCTTATGGTTAGCAGCCCACACAGAACCTATGACTCCACCTGGGACGTTACTAGATTGTCTTTATCCCCAATTTCTGCTCTGTCCTCTAACTATCAAATCTAATGCCAAAACCAAAACATGAAAACAATTATCCATGACCAACCCAACATTTCTCCATGCTTACTTTTCACTTATGCTTTCCCTTCTTCCTTCCTTTGCTGTTTACAATTTATTTATTCCAAAGAATTTTCTTTTATAGGTTGATTTTTTTCTTTGCTCTCAATCTTTTTTCATCTTCTGAGTGCATGTGCTTCGTTCAGTCTATATTCCTATTAACTTTCTTGTGGTATAAAGTACCCATACAAATTCTACTTATTTTAGGGTTAAATTAGGGTTATATTCTTCTCCATACTGGGTTCTTTGTCCAGAGTGCTAGTTGTTTCCATCTCTTCCTACCCGGTGGTATATTTATATATTTTCCATATATCTGTAAAATGAGAATCTCTGCCTGTATCTTTTGTCTTCTCTGAGATCTTGACAGGCTTCCCAATCAAACTTGAAACCATTTATTCTTTCTCCCACCTAGCAATATTTTAAGGATTGAGTAGTACTATGTACTTTTCTTGTAACCTGTGTATGTGTTTCTAACTTCCCTCTAGCCAGAAAGAAATGTCTTTCTTTACCATATTTTATATGACTTGAAAATAATATCAACTCACTGAGGCTGGAGTAATCCCGGGACCATTGCCCTGTGATATTCTTCTTCAAACAGTGAAATTAAACTATCCCCTGAAGTCGTTTTTAAATCAACAAGACAAATCATCTACTCAAAAAGTGGAATGTCATCATAAGCACTGTATTTTTAAAAATTGGCCGAAGGTACAATAGTAACTCTAAAGTGTGGTTGCAAAGTTTAGGGGCAGCGAGTCTAATACAAAGAGCCCTGGTAGTGCCATGGTTAAGAACTCGGCTGCTCTGAAAGTTTTGTAGTTCTAACCCAGCTATTCCATGTGAGAAAGACATGAGTCTTCTATTATAAATATTACAACCCTGAAAACACTAGGGCCATTTTGCTCCATCCTATAGGATCAGTATGAGTCAGAATAGGCCTGATAGCAACATATTTAAAAGGAGTCTAAGTGAATAGGGGTGAAATAGCTGGAGCAGAAATAATGAGAATGTTGACATAATCTGAACAGTGTAACCAGTGTTGCTGACCAACATAGAAATTATTCACTGAGAGCATGCTTTGATGTGTATATTATCACCAAAATTGAATTAGAAAAAGAAAAAGAATATATAAATCTATAAAATGCATCCTCAGTAACCACACTACCACTGTTCCAGACAGTTATTATTAGCATTCATCAATGTTTTGGCATCTAGGCTACTGGACTGTCTAAATACAAATGTGGATTTGGTTCCTGCAATTTTAACTTATTTTAAAAAAATAGGAACTTAGGAAAGCAAAATAGCTAAAATCTCTATAACACAGCCAATCCAATAGAAAATGGACAAATGATTTAAGCATATATGTAACCGAAAATGATATCTAGATGAGCAATAAGGACAAGAAAAGATGTTTGATTTCATTAGTCATCATTGTTATTGGTGTTGTTAAGTGGTCTTCAATTGGTTTTGGCTCACCGTGCCCCTGTGAACAACAGAA